GCCGAGCGGCGCGTCGGAGTACCGCCGGCGGAGACGGCCGGCAGCTTCGTTGGAGGTACTGACGCCGCGAGGACCCGAGGGTGCCAGTGAGGACGCCAGGCTGTCCAACCCGGCCCCGCCCCGAAGCCATGCCGCCGTATGACCCCTGACCCGACCGGACCCCACTTGGAACCGCTCTGTCCCAGCTTTGAGTGGGGCCTCTGATCCCGCCCAGGCCGGCCTTGGACCCAGCCCCAGCCTCCAGAATCCGGGTGCGCGCCCCTAGAGCCCCGCTCTCCCTGCCATGCATGGAAAGCTGCTGCCGCTGGCCGGCCTCTACCTGGTGCAGGGCCTGCCCTACGGGCTGCAGTCTGGCCTGCTGCCCGTGCTGCTGCGGGCGCGCGGCCTCTCCCTGACACGCGTGGGACTGGCCAAGGTGTTGTACGCGCCGTGGTTGTTCAAGCTCGTGTGGGCCCCCCTGGTGGACACGTGGGGCTCCCTGAGAACCTGGCTGACGCTCAGCACAGCTGCTCTGGGTCTGGCGTGTGGGCTGCTGGCAGCCCTGCCTCCTGCCGAAGCTGGCCAGGCCGGGCTGCCCTCCACTGTGGCGGGGCTGCTTTTGCTGCTGAACCTCGCTGCAGCTGTGCAGGATGTGGCCCTGGACACACTGGCTATGCAACTTCTGGCGCCCTCTGAACTGGGGCCTGGCAACACCGTGCAGGTGGTGGCTTACAAGCTGGGGGCGGTGCTGGCCGGGGTGGGCTGCTGGCCCTTGTACCCCCCATCTCCTGGGCCCTGCTTTTTCAGCTCCTGGCTGCCACCTACTGGCTGGTTGCTGCCTTGGCCTGGGTTGCGCCAGCCCTGCAACAGTTACCCCCACCTCAGCACTCAGAGCTGCCCGGACATGCCCTGCACCTTTGGCAGGACTTGCTGGCCGTGCCTGGGACCCTGTGGACGGTGGGCTTTGTGCTCACCTACAAGCTGGGTGAGTTAGGGCTTGAGTCAGGCAACAGCAGGGGCGGGAGCTCCAGGCGAGTCCCCAAGAGCCCTAGAGCTTGCTTGTGGGGCTGCCTTCTCTACTTCTGGGGAGTGGTCTGCAGGCTAGAGCCCATCCCAGCTCTGCAGCTGGGCCTTGCTCCTTGTCCCCTCTGCAGGCCCAGCTCCATGGCTGTTCTGAGCCCCAGCCAGACCCTCTTGGTTCACCCTGAGCTCAGCTGATGCCCATCGCCAACTGTCCTGGCATCTCTGACCTAGGACAGAGGCAGGGCTGGGGGAGGGTGACTGCTGAGGCCCTAGGATGAGGAGGGAGGTGGGCTGCTCCTGGTTTTCTCCCTGCAGGTGAGCAGGGTGCCGGCAGCCTGTTCCCCCTCCTCCTGCTGGACTGCGGCATTTCCACCTCCGAGCTGGGGCTGTGGAATGGTGTGGGTGCTGTGGTATGCTCCATTGCTGGCTCATCCCTGGGCGGGGTCCTACTGGCCAAGCACTGGTGAGCCCTCCTCCACCCATCACACACCTGCTCCCCTCTGGGCCTTCCCTGCACCCCTGTCCTTCCCTATCTCCTCTCCGCAGGCAGCCACTGCACCTGCTGAGGTCAGTGTTTCGGTTCTGTCTCGGAGGCCTGGCCTGCCAGACTGCCCTGCTCTTTCCCCTGGTTGCTCCTGCGGCCCCGCTGGGTACCCGCACAGTATTAAGAGGTGAGGGGTTGGCCGTCGTGGGGAGGAGCCTGGAGTCCTGGGCCCCGCTGACCTCAGCTCCCCCAGGGGCAGCCTTGCTGAGCCTGTGTCTCCAGCACTTCCTGGGGGGTTTGGTCACAACCACCACCTTCACCCTGATGATGCACTGCAGTCAGCTGGCACCCAGTGCCCTGCAGGTGAGGGGACGCAGCTGGGACACCAGGGGGCTGCAGGGTGGGAGTACAAGCAGGTCCTGACGCTCTCCACCCATTCCCAGGCCACGCACTACAGTCTCCTGGCCACGCTGGAGCTGCTGGGGAAGCTGCTGGTGGGCTCACTGGCTGGAGCCCTGGCTGACAGCCTGGGGCCACACCTCTGCTTCTGCTTCTTCCTTGTTGTCTCAGCCACACCCGTCCTGTACTTGGGCCTGGCACCCAGCATCCTGGCCTGAGCTGGGTGGCCAGACTTGTCAATAAAGTGGAGTGTGCATGTGGCCTGTGTCTGGGACGAGTGACATGCAAGGTTCTCAGACTGGGGTTGTCCCCACCAGAAGGAGGGTCCCTAAGAGCAACTTGAGCATCTTTTATTCTGTACCCCCTTTGTCCCCACACTCCTGGCGGTGGGTTTTGCCCAGGGTGGTTGGTCACTGATACCCCATCTTTGCCTTGATGAACTGCTGCATGTGACACCCTCCATACTGGCTGTGCAGGCCCTGCTCAGGCCATGTCGTCTGTGATGTGGGAGCACAGGGCCTTCTGCACAGGGCAGTCAGTGGCCCCACAGCAGGACCTCCTCTGTGGCCAGGTGCATCAGGGCATGGAAGCTCAGGTGTAGGTACTTTCTCCAGAAGCGTCGGTCCCGCCCATAAACCTGGGCCGGATAGCGGGGGCTCCCTGCAGTTGAACGAGAAACCCGGCTCTGAGGACTCTTGGCCCAGTCCAGCCCCCAGCCCCTGCCTTTCTCAGGGCTATGCCTCCCAGACCCTCACCGATGCCGTGGAAGACCCGGGCCACAGCCCTGCCCGAGAACTGCTGCTCTGGCCAGGAGGACAAGAGGTGGCGGATGTCCCGGCGGATCTGCTCCTCCCAGTCCTGGAGCTGCTGGTGGGGGACACGTCAGGCCAATCCGCGCTCCCGAGACACCCGGTCTCACATGGCTCAGCGCGGGGCAGGCGGCGGGTACACAGGTGTCTTGCTGCCTCACCTCACTGCAGTCCTGTGTCCTCTCTGTGACCCCCCCCCCCAGGAGGCCCTGGCACTCACCTGGGCCTGTCCTGGCTCTGGACCCTGCTCCTCCTCCATGTCCCCTGGGCCCTCATCCTCGAAGTAGCGGCTGAGCAGGGCCTTGAGCTGACTGCTGCAGTCCTCGTTGGGCTGCTCCAGGCACGGCCCACAGCTGGGGAAGGCTACGCTATGGTGGGATGAGCCTGTCAGAACTGCCCCCCGGGGAGGGTGGGGCGGCCCAGGCCCTGTCCACCCTCTCCAGCACCTGTGAAAAGCCCAGAAGGTGCGGCGCAGACTGGCCAGGGCATCTCGCTCTCGAGCCTGCACACGGCTGTATAGGAAGTCACAGATCTCGTCCTTCTTCTGGGCTGTCAGGTCCCCGGGGCTGTGCAGGTGGAAGGCTAGCTCCCTGAACTCCACCAGCACCCCTGTGCCCTGAGGCACACCTGGGCACACCTGTCCTGCGCTCTGGGTCCCAGCGCAGCTGCTTAAGAGCCCGCCGCACAGGGGCCAGTTCCCAGCCCATTGAGTCCACCAGCTCGACCATGTCAAACTCCACAGAACTGCTCTCCCCACCGGTGTTATCGGGGGGCTGCTGGGCCAAGCACACAGCCAGGGGAGGACACCTATGCCAGGGAGAGGCCAGGTGTGATGGGCAGTCCTGGTTCTCTGTCCCTGTCCCCAACCCGAGTTGGGTGGGATGTGTGCTCACCTGCGGGCCAGGGCCTGGAGCTGTGTGGGGCCCCCGGGGCAGCGCAGGTGGCAGCGGGCATAGGTGGGTGCCAGTAGCTTCAGCCAGCGCTGTGGGTGCAGCTCCAGGTAGCAGAGCAGGGTCTCGATGGCTGGGGGCAGAGCAGGGCTCAGGGGACATGGGGATATAGGGACGCCCCCGCCGCACATCCCCGTTTCTCACCCTCTTCAGGACATATCCAGGGCCTGCACCATTGGCTGTACTGGGAGCGCCCGCTCATGGCCCAGACACTGGGCTCTGTGCTTGAGACTGGGTTGGTCAGCATCCTGGGGGCATGTGGCCACAGGAGCACTAGTTGAGTGGCCGTCCTGGCTCTCACCACCCTCCTGCTCTGGGGGACTCTGGGTGCAGGCGCAGGGAGGAAACACGCACTGCACGAGCTTCTTCACCGCGAGGAAGTCGACAGCGTTGGCGTGCACGTGTCTTCGCAGCTCCCAGAGATCCTCGCCCTGCAGCAGAGCAGCCGTGAACGTGGGGCTGTGCACGAGGCAGGCTCAGGGGTCTCCAGCCGGCTGGGTACCCACCTGGGGCTGCAGGAAGAGGTGGCAGTGTGCAGGCTGCCCGTCACGCCCGGCCCGGCCCACAGCCTGCACATAGTTCTCAAAGCTTGGGGGCAGACCCAGATGCAGCACGGCCCGCACGTCCGGCCGGTCCAGCCCCATCCCGAACGCCACTGTGGCCACCACCACCCACAGCCGGCCCTCCATGAAGGCTCGCTGCACCCGCCGCCGTTCCCGGCTGCACATGCCGGCATGGTAGGCTTCAGCCACAGACTCCAAGGCTTGGCCTGCAGGGAAGATGCACAGATGGTCAGGTGGGGTGCCTGCCTGGGGCAGGTCTGTGGGGGGCAGCCCTGCCCCCACCTCACCTCCGGGGCCCAGGGCCCAGGCCTCACGCAGGCAGGTGCGCAGCAGTGCAGCAACACGCTCCGTGTCCTCTCGCCTGTTGCAGTAGATGATGACAGAACCCAGGGCACGAAAACGGTCACTCTGCAGCAGTGTCACCAGAGCCTGGGGGGACACAATGGTCAGTGTGAGCAGTCGGGGGGCAGGGGCCTCTGCTGGGCCCATGTGTGCAGTTACCTGGTCTGGGTCCCTGTCTGTGGACACAGAGAGATGCAGGTTGGCTGGGATGGTGACTGGGCCCCTGAGGACAGACTCCTCAGCCACACCCAGGTGCTGGGCCACGTCATGGGCGGTGCTGCGTGTGGCTGTGGCTGTGAGACCCAGGAAACAGCTGACACCGAGGCGTTCCCGCAACACCTGTGTGGAGGCGGGTGGTGAGGACGCCCAACTCGCCTCCCCTGGCCTGCTCACCCGTCCCCTGGACAAGGCTCACCTTGCAGACACGCAGGTAGCAGGGCCGGAAGTTGTGGGACCACTGAGAGAGGCAGTGAGCCTCGTCGATGCAAGCGAAGGCAACTGGGGGGAGCTGAGTGAGGAAGACAGCACCCCCGGCCCCAGCCCCAGCCAGCGCCTCTGGTGAAAGCATCAGTACTTGGACCTGGGCCGATCGAACCTGAGGACGGCAAGGTCAGGAGTGCCACCTAGGGGCTGCCTGCTGCCTCTGCCCCCGTGCCGTGAGGCTCCCTTACCTTCTGCAGTGCAGAGTCCCGCTGCCTCCTGGTCATCCCGGAGTGGATGCAGGCTGCCTTCAGGCCTGGGGGCAGGCTGGACACCTGCAGATACAGGAGCACAGCCTGTCGCAGGCCCCCAGCCCTGGCCCGTTCCCAAACGCCTCTTAAAATGGTTTGACATGACAGCTACTGCAGCTCCACCCAGGCCCCCTGGGGAGAAAAAACTCAGACCCTGGGTCCTGCAACTAAGGGTTCAGATCCACCTGTGGGCCTTGACTTAGGAGTGCTGGGGACAGATGGGTCCCAGTAGGGATGTACCCCCTTCCCAGTGCTGTTCCTCTTGTGGGTGGGCCTGGGTCTGGCCAGCCATGTCCTTGTTGCCTTTGGGCCACTGCCAGGCCTGCAGCTAGGGACAGAGCTGAGAACAAACCGCCTCTGTGCAGCTCTAGGGTGGGGGCGGGGTGAGAAGCAGCAGTCCCAGTGGGGGCCAGTTCTTGTCTTCAGCATGTGCCGGGGCTCTGTCCACCCACCTGGTCATCCATGAGTGACATGAGGGGAGAGATGACGAGTGCAAGGCAGGGACTGCGCCGGGAGTAGAGCAGCGCGGGCAGCTGGTAGCACAAGGACTTGCCAGCGCCTGTGGGCAGCACCAGCAGTGTGGACATGCCTGGGTGTGGCCAAGCAAGGGTCACTAGCGCCACTCTGGCTGGGCCTTGGCCCCCCTACGCCCTCCCCCAGCCACACTCACCAGACAGGATCCGCATGACCACACACTCCTGCCCAGGGCGGAAGGCCTGGTGCCCCAGCTGCCCCAGGGCCTGGAACACCTCAGCCGGTGTGTCTGCAGCATAGTATCAGTCAGCATGGCCCCAGTTGCCCTTATTTCTCAGTAAAGGCTCTGGGCTGGTAGGTGTCTACTCACCTGCCACCTGCCCCGAGGGCCCTGGTGGGTAGAGTGGGGGCACGGAAGGAGGGGGACAGGGCACCTCGGGCACAGACTCCCCCAGAGGCAGCAGCAGCTCAGACCCCGCAGGCTCTGTGTCTTCTCTGCCTGCCGGGAGCAGACAGAGGATAGTATAGGAGCTCCAGGCTGGACAGGGTCATCCTAGCAAGGCCACTGGCTACAAACTCTTCTCCATCCCTTTGCTCACCAGAGAGTCGGCAGTCGTCAGCACCAGTGCTCTGGGATACTTCCTCCAATGTGGGCAGGGTCTGTGTGTCACCCTCCTGAGGAGCCAGGGTAGGTTCTGGACCAGGAGTAGCGAGTTAGTAGAGCCTTTTGCTTGAGCTAGATTTGCCTCCCAAAGAGCACACCAACCCCTCAGAGCAGCGTTCACCCAGGCCACCACCCAGGGCAGAGGCCTCACCTGACTGAAGGCAGTGGGATGCCCAGTGGCTGAGCTGCTCACACTGGAAATAAGAGTCCTTGGCTGTGGCTCTGGGCTGAACACCCCCAAGACACTCCCCTTTCTTCTGCCACTTCTGCCTCCATGTCTGCAGGGACACAGAGGAGGGTCACAGGGCGAGAAGCTGGAGGAGAAGGGGAGCATCTGACACCACCTTCTCACCTGCTTGCGGAGAAGCCTGCCCCGCAGGGCTGGGCCCCGCACATAGCGTTTCTGCTTCATGTTGAGTCGCACGTAATTACCCCTGTCTCGCGCGGTGGGCCTAGAAGAGACACAGATAGACCGAGCCCAAAACCCTCCTTACCTCGGTTTGGTCAGAGGCAGCCATGCCAGGGGGTTACAGCGGTGCTACCTGGGGGCTGTGGGGTTGCTGGGGGGCTGTGCCCTCACAGGCTCCTCTGGAGAGTCTTTTGCATGCACTGCAGCCCCAGCTCCCTCAGGCAGGGGTTCCCCTTGACCTTTGTCCTGCTGAGTCTGCGCATGGCATCCCTCCAGCTCCCTACTCCGTCTCCGCTTCTTGCCTTGACTGTTACCACTATGGGGTTTTAACGCACTGACACCAGTTGCTTGTAGGGCTGGAACCTCTGGGCCTTGTACAGGTACGGTGATGGGGTAGAGGGCAGATGGAACACCTGAAGTCAGAGGCTGTGACTCCTCTGCACCCAGGACAGGCTGGCAGGCCTTGGGAACCCCCAGAAAATCTGGGGTTCCACTGTGGCACCGCTGTAGCCATCCAGGGTCTAGGGAGCCCAGTCGCAGGCTCAGGGATGCCTGCAGCTGCTGGAGCCGT